CGAGGCGAGACATTCACCTTTCATGCAGGAAACTTGTGAGTTTCACAACATGACTATATACTTATACTTGTGCGACTCGGTGGTCTCAAGACTGTTGCAGCAAACCGCCAAGGCGCTTGTGGTTCTTCTTCGCTCGCGCCGCTCTTCCTCAATGGCACGTAGAATGCCGACCATTGCGCAAATACAGTCTTATGTTTCCTGGCCCATTCACCCTTGGAAGAACAAAACATATCCACGACCTGCACAACGCCCCACGTTGCGCAAAAACATGCAAAAACCTTAGCAATGTTTATTACAAAAAACAGATTTGTCTCCGCCGTCTGCCTTGTAGAGGGCCTTAGCTCTTGCCTGTTTCAAACAATTGAATCCCCGTTGAAATTCAGGGCGTGGGGTCGAGACCGTCATTTTGTAGTAAAAGCCACTTTTTGGCTCCACAAAATGATACTATCTACAATATGGGGGGTGTAAAAAAAGTACAACAAACCATGAAATACCTACAAAATGCAGCGCTCGAGGTAACTGTATGTCATTCTGTAGAAACATGAAAAATGCAAAAATCTACAGAATGATGGGCCCTCCCAGGGAATTAAAAAAACGATATCATTTTGTAGAGTCTGTTGTCTCCTTATTCTCTACTAGATGAGTCCGTTTGTCTACAAGGTCGGGCACCCTTTGAAATGGCTGCAAGTAGACAGCACTGCCCTACAATCTCCTGCCAAGACACCCACACATGACATACATTCTATCTTTTTTTGATATCCCTGTTACATTCTGTAACCAAAATCCCTTCCAGAATCAGACACCCATAGGGTGTCAAAACCAGTTCTGCACGTGGTCAGTGTGACCACTACATCCACTACTGACCTGTTCTGACCTTTCTGATTCACAGCAGATGGATCAAGCCCAGCGGGCCCGATCCAGTCTCTTGGGGGATCCCCGTTGAAACTTCCTTTCTAAAATGATGAGCCTGGATTCCACTATAGGGCTTTCATTTTGTAATAAATTATGTTGGCCATTTTTAAAATGATGTTACGGCCTGACAAAATGATTCAGATTGCTTACAGAATGAATTGTTGCACTACCACATTTCCATTCTATAGTAAACTAATGTTATTACAAAATGGTGGGACCCACCCTCTTCTTTCACTACAAAATACTCTGCGCGCCGTAGGCGTCAAACACGCCTGTCTACAAAATGCTAGGCCGCAACCTCATTTTAAAGATGGCCAACATAAATTTATTACAAAATGAAAGCCCTATAGTGGTCTCCAGGCCCATCATTTTAGAAAGGAAACTTCAACGGGGATACAATTGAAACAAACGGTTGCCTGAAAACTGCAGAAGTTCCGGTTGCCCTGCAGTATGATGTGACAGATTGTTTTAGTGGTCATGGATGGTCATGGAGTAGTGAAGGCCTGGCCAGATTTCCAGATGTGGGGCCAAAGTTCCCCCTTCAGGTCTTAGTTCTGCATCGAACTGCTTGCAGGAACAGTAGCTTTGCTTAGAGGTTAACTTTTTGGACTTGGTGTCAGGTTTGCTCTACAGCTTACATTGCCTGGACCCGAATGTATGCTCCTGTCTGTTCAAGCTGGATTTGGCTGACGCATTCTGAGCAGTAGTTCCAGATGGGTTTTCGCCAACTGTATGGCAGCAAGGATCGATATGTAATTTTGCTTTTTAATTCCAATCATCTTGCTAGTTTGCCCCATTAAAAATATAATGGTGTGTCTCAAGTACAACTCCTGGTGGGAAGGCACGTGGGCGCGCGAGCAGCCAGCTTCAAGCCCGATGTTCTACACTCGACATGCTGGAAATGGCCATGTAAATGGTGTAAATATGTTTTTACGCGTACCTTCTTTGGACAAATAAGTTGACAAATTTCTGGTCCAACAAGTTCAGCGCTGCGCAACTTGCTTGCAATCTCACGCCCACAGATTGAAGCCAATAGGATGTGTGCTAGTTTGCCACGTCAGGTTGATGGTCAGGGGCATGTGCCAAAAGAACGGCAAAGAGCAGAAGGAAAAGTCATAAACAGTTTTGGCAAGAGTTGGGCCAGCAAGGAGCAGGCACGTCAGCGACTAGCTCGCTGAAAGAAACACAGCGCCCGAATTGCAGGCAGGAAGGAAACGTGTGTTTAGTCACGTTCGTTTCGCTGATTTCTGAATGGAGTATAGGCTAGGTCCCGCTAGGCTAGGTCTCTGGTGCTTGGCCTTTCTGAATTTCTTGATGCATTATCCCCAACAACTGGGCTGCGTGATCGCGATATTGGTCAGGGAAGTTCAAGGGGTCATTCCGGACCCGCCACGTTCAAGTCTTTTCCCCACGCGCAAAGAGAAAATCAAGAAGGACACCGACAGGGAACGCACTCCTTCTCGATCCTCCACGACAGTCACCAACGAAAGCTCGCAGCATCTCCTGAGACTCCTTCGACACGAGGACAACCGCCTCGGAACAGGAATCTATGATTTTGTGAGCACCATCCTCCCACGGATCCTGGAGAAGACTCAGAAGTGGCACATCCAAAGTGGAAGAACGACCCTGGCCATTGAGGATAATTACTAACTTTATGACCTAATTATATACTTTTGTTTGCTATCTCTATTAAACATCAAAATACTTATTTTGGAAAATGTATAGAAATAGAATACAAAACTAATAGGATCCATAAGTAGAAAATATATAGAGCGAAAGGGAGGAATAGACATAAAAAAGCATCCAAAAGTAGAGCAGAGTTGTTGCAAACTTCAAGAATGGAAAAGACACGCAAGCATATCCCAAAGCAAAACTCTTGAAACTTAAAGCAAGATAGGATCCATCAAAGGGGAGAGAAGGGGTGTAAAGCACAAAAGGAGAAGGAATGGAAAGAATAGAGTTGAGTAGAGGGTATATACATTATAGATTTAAGCAGGAGTCATTGTTTGAGTTTAAGCTTGTGTTTGAATTGTTAATTTAGTAGACTATTAGTAGCTTAGTAGATTAGCATGTACACATAGAGCCTTGATCACAGTCAAAAACAAATTAACAACACATTAAGAAATATAACTATATTTACACACTGACCTGGCAAAGCTACTCCACTGCTCACATGAAAGAAAGAACTAACTAGTTACGTTAACTAGTTACTAGCAACTAGTAATTAGTACTCTGGTTAATTTGCCAGTCAAGTCATCCAGTTAGAGTCTAAGTCGTCATCACTCACTAAAAGCACTACCACCAACTTGAGGAGAGGGAGACAGGAAAGTTAGTAAAGCAGGAAGAGAGTAGAAGCATGTAAAACATGCATTGGCAGCTGTTCGGAGCAGGAGGCCATGGGGGTAAGATAAGAAAACGCCTTGTAAGCGTACTACGGGTAGGGTAAAAAACCGTGGTTGGTGCAAGTCGTGCATGGGCGGGTGGTTGGTGCAAAACGTGGTGTGGGAGTAACGGTGGTTGGTGTACGACGACCGCGCAGGGCGTCAACAGTGGTATAAAACGTGGTTTGGTGCAAACGGTGGTTGGTGTAAAACATGGTTTCAGAGCTACATCCGATGCGCAACAGCAGCATGTCCAGAATCGAGCTGTCGCAGTGCAGGAGCCGCGCGAACCCAGATCTGAGCCGCCATTGATCCGAGCTTTTGTGGACTCGAGCTTTTGTTGACTCACGGTCCACGTTGCCGACGTGCTCGCAAACCAAATGACCCGCATCGGGGTGATCCACTTCGGGACGAAGCGGTTGGGGTCTGTATTGAAAAATCAATTCCACGGGGGGGGTCTGTATTGAACAAAAACAATTCAAAAGGGGGGGTTGAATTGAACTATCAATTAATCAATTATTAGACGCGGAGGAGCCCACACTTGCTTCGCAAGACAAACTCAAGGTATTCGCTTGGGGGCTACCTTTCGTGATAATCCAAAGAACGCACACTATTCTGTTTGATGCCGTTCAATTGTTCAGCACGTTCAGCATGTAGTATCTGTGCACATGACGCATGGCTTCTCAGCAAAGGCGCCGGTTGCCGTACTCCTCTGCAACACCATCGAGATTCACTGTGACAGTGTTGCTCGCAATGTTAGGCCGCAGCGCATTTGTGACCTTGGGTAATGAAGCTCCAATGCTACCCAGCAGCTGGGGTGCTGGTTGCACTGACCCAGCGACGTCAAGTAGGGACAAGGCTATAACCCATGAACAGGAAAAGCTTCAAACAAGCAAATGACTCGTCGCTTTGATATGATTTGTGTGTCAAAGATTGAATACAAGAAGGGATAAGAAGGGCTACGGCTACGCACAGGTTCTTTGTTCTTCTTGGGGCTTTCTAGAGTCTAGAGGCCGACATGTGTAGATGTATCAGGTTATCATGTGGAGGTTGAAGAAAGGTTGCATCCTACAAACTCGTACAATATAACTACCGTACTCCCTTGCTCCTTATGTGAATAGTCCAGAACGAGTGGCGCCATAGTGGAATTCGAAGTTCTGACCTGCCTCTGTCAAACGCGTGAAGCGCGACAGCCCGGTCATGGCCGTTGCCAAAGTGCCGCTTGTCTGTGCGGTCTGTCCTTCATGGTACACCCGTGCAACCACGGTGACAACGAATGTACAAAAAAAACTGTGTCATTTCAGGCGAGCGTCTCGTCATGTTTGACCGACCAGACCTTGCAGTGTGTGCTGTCTGCCCACTCCCCGTTGTTCGGTGCCTTAGCTTACACAGTACCCTCAACCAAGGTTGATGATAGCCTAAGGGCTTACACAAAAACGGCAAACTGTTGATTGGCTTCTTGACTCTAGTTGTCATTTGCCTTGATCACGCTGAAGATGGCGTGATTTGAAAACAAAGCGGAAAAGGCTTTCTCAAGGACTGAATTTCTGATGCGGGAACTATTCAGATCTTAATTTGTCAACACGAGCAACCACAGAAATGCCCACCCACTAGAATATTATATAGTCGAACTAGCATCACCGCACCATACGTACAGCACCTCTCTTAAGCTCCTCTTAGTGTTTGTGCGCCAGAAGCACCCAGGCTTCATTGAGCTTTGTGCATGGTCGAACGTGTCTTTAGCATATTGAATGCTCTAGAAGATTCTAGAAGCATCCAGGGGCTTGAAGTTCCTTGCTGGGAAAAGCATACGCTACTTTATAGTTGGCTCCATCCATCCCAGTCCCCCCAAGATTCCGAACACAAACGTTTCCAGTGGCCCAAGTAAGTAAGCAAAAAAACGCTCAGGGAAAGGAATCAAATGGGACAAGGGACTTGAACTGCCACAGTCACCACACGTGTCAAGGGTACGGGAGGGAACGAAAAGCACTACGAAAAGCATTTTACAATAAATTCTTGTGTAAGGAGCGAAGCCGCAGCGAAGCCTGTGAAAGTTATGTTGAATACGGGTGCTTCGATAAGACTAAGACCTATAAGATTCATATTGGATCTGAGAGGCTGTGAGGGGACCGTTCGAATCATTCACAGCGTGGCTTCTTGCAAAACAACAATTTTGCTAGATTAGGTTACTGTATATAGTAAGATATGTCTCTGTCTTACTATATTGAATTATTAGGATATAAATGGATATAGTGTAGAACTACATCTTACACACAAAAGGCCGATTCTATGGCAAAGGGTAGGGACGTCCCTTTTAGATGCCGCTGCAGTACGTCTGAGCTGTCCGCGTTGTCAAACGAGATCTTAGGGTGGGGCGTCTCGATGATGCATGGCTGCCTCCGCTCCTCCTGAGCGGTGCTAGCTGCTGTGCTGCTTTGGCTATTGCTATTTAGGCGGCGTTACATGTGTATATACATATATATATATATTCATATATGTGATTATGTGTGTGATATGGCTAATCTATGAAACTGATGTAGGATACACTGTGACGCCGAACATCAGAATGCCTGTCTAGTGGAATTGAAGAAAAAATCAAACTGGAACCAGCTGAAGCAAATGGTGGTCTTCCTCACGTTCGGCTCGAGGACGCCTCCTGCGCATCGCAAGCGCTTGAAGGACATGCTTGTACAAAATTACAAAGAATGGTGCAGGATACATCATGCAAATACGCATAAGATAGCATGGAGACGAGCATGCTTCAAGAGAGGGTGGAGCAAACGTGGGGTTGTGGCTGTACTCATGATTAGTGTTGTGCTTTTGGAGCTTTGTGGTGATGGTTGTGATTTCTTGTGGCTTTTGGGAATCCTGTGATACTCTGGGCTGATGCTGGCAATGCACACAGGTTTCTGGTGGTCTGAGTCTCCGCTGGAGCTATGTTTTAAGTCTTGAATTGCGATTAATTTGTTTTTGCCCGCGATTATTGGATATTTAAATAGTAATCTATCTGAGGCTACTGGCCGGAACTGCGGCAATGACAAGTTCTGCAGCTGCGCTGTGACGAATTCTTATCATCGTTTGAGATCTGGGTGATGGATGGATGAACTGCTGGTCTGCGCTGCTCTGTCCACAATCCTTCTATTCCAGGTCACGGTCGGTTCACTATGCTTGGTGAATGGTTGGCCAAGAGTGCTTGGAAAGTTGTCGCTGCCGCTATGCAAGATCCTGAAGGAAGACCGTAGCTTCCAAGCAGTGCATTACCTTTCTTCCCCTCCAGCGCTAAACAAATAGCAGCCGGCAAACACCTTTATGTTTGGAAAAGCTAGCGCTAGAGTGCATTGATTCCAGGAATCATGAGACATTCTTCTGAAGCCATGACATTGTCACCGCTGATGGTCTCCGTGGGAGTTCTGACAAAAGCCATATGATCATGATACCAAATGTCATGGCGTGCCTGCGCCGGTTCGAGTGTTACTTCACAATGCTTATACAGTAACCCAAACCACGACGTGCAAGAACGACCGAGGTGCCTGCAGCAGATGCACTGCCTGCGCGTCCTCGTTCAGGTGTTGCTTCTACTTCATTTGCGCCGCGCAAAGGTGTCGGATCTACCACGTCCACATTGTCTGCCTTCCAATCAGGTGTTTTTGTTGTCTCTGACCTTGAGACCTCTTTTTTCCGACCTGAATATATATATATATAATAGTATATATAATATACTTCAGACTAAGACTGAGCTAAGACACCCACAAAGATTGTGTGATCATCTGTCAGAAAATCAGCTCAGACTGTCACTCAGTCACTCAACTAAACCATGACGGGGCGAGGAGAGCAACGGCTATAAACATTATCGAGCATCGGATTGTCTCGGACTGCCGCTTTCCACTGCTCCGGGCAGGTCAAAGGAGCGCGCAGCACTCTCTGACTCTGGTGACTGGACTCGCTGAAATTCATCCGCTGCCGGGACAATGGCAGTGGCGCCTAACGCTGGAAGGTTCAGTTGTCCAGGATAACTATTTCAGATCAAGGTGACCCCGTGATTCTCCCTTTACTAGCAGCTTGTTGCTACTAGTAGCGATGAATGTGTTCCTAGTAGCGATGCCCTTAGCTTACTAGTAGCTTCTTGCTACTAGTAGAAATGCACTTGTTCCTAGTAGCGATGCCCTTAGCTATCAGTAGCCTCTTGCTGCTAGTGGTAATGCCCTTGTATAGATATAGGTGAGATGGTGATTTTGCTTTGGAATCTCTAAGATTAAGATGCTTTAAAAAGGCACCTTGGAAATTAATTTGGAGCCTTGCCTGAGAATGGTTGAACTGCATCATCAGTCCCGTCGACAGTTCTTGCAGCAGCACCCCCAAGAAACTCTCTAAATGACTCGAGGACTGCCGGCTGGATGGCCTGGAGGAGGCCACAGCGGAAAACAAAAGGCCAAGCTCATGGATCTCATGGGAAAATATTGCATCTGGCGTGTCAATGTCTGGGTTCATTGTGTTCCTGTGGTTTATCTTCCTTTCCAGCGCAGTCGCTGCCCTGGACCCTGGGCATCTAAAGAGAATTGAAAGGACATGTCCTCAAAAAAGACAAGGAAAACAATACAGGCCGCTTAAGCTGACATGCTGACAAGCCACGAGCGCAAGCACTTGCAGAACGAGACAAGCAACGTGATAGATGGCACAGCCCTTCCAACTAGCTGCATCATACAATACACCTCCCAAGGTTGCCTCGGATGAAAGATATGGAGTCAACCGAATGCGCATTGGTTCATGAATGTCTTGTTGTTCCTCATGTTTGCCCTTTGTTGATCCTGTTCCCGTGTTTTGCCACACACACAAACACGAATGTATACATAGACATATCTATCTATCTATCTATCTATCTATCTATGCTCTCAAGGCAACTGACACCGTTCCTCCTTGTTTCTATAATGCACAGCTCACAAGATTTGCTCAGAGACATGTCCCTTGTGTTCGGCGCCTGTTTTTCCTGCTCTGGCCTTTGGTTTCTGCTTCAATCAGCCGCCTGCATGATCACGCCTTCCTCAACCAGTCTCCCTTCAATCTGAACATCTGAAAACGAGGCGGGTCTTCGTCTTCCACGACGTTGTTGTGATGTTGTACACCCGTCCGAAGTCTCTCCAGTGGGGCTGTTCATTGGGACGAAGTTGTCCAAGAAATGCAAAGAAATCAGGGTCACTGGATGAACAAAGTCCTAGATTCTTCACACAATCACAGGTCATTCATTCAACAGTTGCTATCTCACGGTTGGGGTCGCCTGGGCTGGCTGACGCAAGTGGTCTGTTGAATGACTTGCTGGGCAATGAGGAGGCATCTTGGAAAGGGTTTGCATGTTGGCTCTAAACCTCCTTGAATTAATATATACATAAATGTGCATGCTGTTCTTGCAAAGTTCCTGGTGTTCTTCATGCTGCTTGTTCTGGCGACCAGCCCAAGACACAACAAAGCAAGCTAAATTCACTAACGACAGTGCTGAACAAGGTGCAGCGATAGCGTATGACAGCCTTATGCACAAAGTCACTGAGAGGGAGGAAATGTATGCGTGTCTGAATGAGCAAGTCACTTCTGTCGAAATTTCATTGACCAGCAACGTAAATACAGAAAGAACTGTTGACTGCGCTTGGGCGACCATCACCTCCGAGTCTGACCACACTTCAAAGGTGACGCCTTCCTGAGGAACAGGCGTGAGAGGGGCCGTTTACGGTTTCACCCCATGGCAGGCGGCCATCATCAGTATCACCGGGTGATCTCGAGCACTTAACAAATCGGGAAGGTCATTAGAAGCATTATATAGATATTCTCTTGGATTTTTGCAATGATCTTCTGGTGGCAAGTTGATAGTGATAGAGTTGGAAGCGGATATGATGAATGCCTAAATAGCACCCGAAAAGCGAGTCTGGGATGAGTTTGGACTAACAAACCAACCTCCTATATTGTCCCAACAGGACCGGTGGCACTAGCTTCAGTGCTCTCAAGGGTTCATTGCGAATCCGTTTGCGTCCTGTGACATTCTTGATCATTTTTGTCAAGCATCAATTGCTACAGTCACGTCAAATGCAATCATGGCAGCTATTTCGCCAAACACTGCCCAAGCCTGCGGTCACTCAAGCAGGCCACAGATTCAGAACTTCTTCGAAAGGTTGGCAGAGCAAAGCCGGTTGCACATGGGTTATATACCTGTGTCTGTTGGAAACCGGGCACATGTTACACCTGTGAACCTTGTCAAAAGCTGCTTGAGAGAATGAAACAGGGCCGGAGTCCTGTCCCAAAGGCTGGGCAGTGAAATTATGCAAATTGGGGAGCAATCAGGCTAAAGGTCTGCCAAATCGCGTTTCATTGACGACTTGCACACGTTGTTCACAGTCTAATTGTGCCACCTGTCCCACTGTCCTATGCGCCCCAAATCCGATTTCGAGCTTCACCTGTTACTTCTGCCATTCCTCTCTTTGCCAGAATCGTCTACCCAAAGCATCATCTTCGCTGGGCTCTAGGCCCTGCTTTCTTCCATCGTCCAGTTTCCCGACATATTGCAGACTGCGAGTTTCCCTGCTATCCCCACAGGCATCCAACTTCGTGCATGGCTACAGCTTGTCTATGTCAACATCTATGTTGTGTCATGCATTTGTCCTCCAATCATCCAAAACAACTGCCGATTCACAACCTTGTCCAACCCGCCACTGATGCCTGGTCAAGGAAAATGAGCCCCAACGTGGCAAAAGCCAGGTGCAGCAAAGTCAAGAGCACAGACGACCAAAGGCCCAGGCGCAACAAAGCCTTTGTTCATTGCTCATCAGTTCACTTTCACAATTCAGGTGCTTCTGAGCACCAATAGCTGCATACAATATAATATAATATCTATAATATATATATATATACATAACTATACAGCAATAAATATATGTGGAGGACATGGCCAGAGATTGATCTGAAGTTAGACTGACCTACTTACTTGCTCTGCACATTGCTTCATAAGCCTGAGTCTGACGAGTCGTCAGACCCTCGTTCCGTGGCGTCTGTTTCAGCAAGTTCCACATGACACCTCCTGTGTTTCTTGTGTCAAGCAATATAATATATACTCTAAGCGTGATCCTAGGCGCTATACGTCACTAACTAGTCGCCCTAGTCTCGGCGTGGCACAAAAATAGCGCCTTGACATGCCTTGACTATTTCCAAGACACCTGCTGCGTGACCAGGCGGCCCAAGCCCCCCGCACTGACCAGCACTCCAGCAATCTGCAGGTCCCAGCCCTGACTCCGAACATACAAGGTGAATCCTGGCACTCCACGCCACGTTGGAAGAGAATGGAGCACATTGACAAAAAGTTTGCTCGAACCACTAATGTGTGAAGGTCACCATCGTTAACCGTTAACTAACTTTCCCAGCCTTAGACAACCCCTGGCAGTCTTGGTCGGAAACTTCGAAAACACTCAAGTCGCAGTCGCCAGCATGCAACTAGCCAACAAAGATGGAGCAGCCGGCCAAAAGGCTGGCAAGGAAACAGATTGCACGACTCTAAACAACCTGGGCTTCGCTGCGCCCTCTGCGGCCCTTAACTATCTGTAACTTGAGAACTTAAGGTGAGCCCCTCATCTTGCCACTGCACTAGTCCCGTTTGGCAATGAAGCCAGCACAGTACTGAAAAGATCCGAACGACGGCTTCATCGCCTGTGCACATCCCACTTTTTCTTCACACTTTCTGGAACATTTGCTACTCCCTCTCGCCACGAGAAAATAGAAGCCTGTCCTGCCCAAGCAAACGAGGAAAGACCTCCACATAGAGCTGGAAGCAACATGCAAACAAGAACGTAGTTGGCGGACCATGGAATGGTTTCGAAGTCCTCCTCTTGGAAGCTAAAGGAGTCCGGGTCGGGTTGCTGATCAGTATCGGCCGACATGGCTAGGAGCCCAAGCAATGTGCAGCCGTTTGCTTGCGCTTTGCAATTCCCACGCGTCCCACGAACAACCTATCAACAAAACACACGAAAAAAGAACACCGCAAAATGGACAAGTATCAATCGGATGTAAAGTTGTGCCTTGGAGCCTTCATTTCCTGTTTTCAAGCTGCTGTTGTATGGAAACATCGCTGTTGGAATCCATACGCGCTCGTCATGCGACTCGTTCCTTTTGTCACGAGCCCTGTAAACTGCCTCGGGCAAGCAAGCACCAAACCCGATGGATGCAGCCTTGCCCTGAGTGTGAGTTTGCCATTGACAAAGGCCAGTAACAAAAGGTTTCGCGTGCATGCACTATGATGAAGCCGCATGGAATTTGTTTCAAAATTCTCCGAAAACTAGAGGAGTCCGGGTGTTGCGAATTCGGCCCTTGTTGCTCTTCCCGTGCATAGGTGGCTTGCTGGCCATGAAAAGCAACCGCCATGGCCATGGAGGTCAAATCAACGCCGAACTTCTACGGGAGATTGTGCATCTGTGGAAACCACACAAATCTGAGAAAAAATTCCACCAAGCAAGTGAAGTGCCTCAAACAATTATTATTCAATTCGCTTCGTCTTCCCTGATTAGATCCACCAAAACAACTGGCTGATAAAGTGGGCTCAAAAGCTGAGCTCAGGACTGTGCCACCACCTGATCTCCAAAGAGTGCAATGGGCAACAGGCCCTGACAGAACCCCCCTTTAAGGGCTTGGAGCCCTGGAGTTTCCAGTTAAGGTAATTAAGGTGAAGTGAGGTGCAGTTCTGCGAGGTGATGAATAGTTATGATGTATTCTGTCGTCGACAGGTGCACACATGGTTCCATGACGGAGGCATCATCCAAATGATACTAAACTAAACCTGCGAAGGGGGGGGACGGAAGCCAGCAGCTGCCAGACGAGTGTATCTTTTTCTGGCGGGCGTCGCGGCACAAGACACATGGTCGGCAGCTTGCGAGTCAGCGGTGCTGCGGATGCGGGGGGGCGTATGTAATGGTGATTGAGGGAGCAGAGAAGCAAGCCGGGCGGCTTTGGGATAAGATCCCCCACTGGTTATGGGGGGGGGAGGGGGGGATCAATTTCTTTTAGATGGTTTACACCCTCTAAAAGTTAACTTTTCTGCACGCCGATGTCCCCGATCGAGAGCCGCCAACTAAGAAACAAAACATGTCAGTCAACGTCGGACAATGGAACGAAACTAAATCAATAATATCTACTACAGTCACAACCATCACATGGATTGGCCTGGATTGACCTTCAGAAACATAGAAACATCATCCCATCAGATTCACTTCAGGCTATCCAAAGTATATACCAGCCCACGCGTGTTTGTCAGGATTGACTGCTCTGCGGCTCTCTGCTCTTTTTTGCAGTGCCACTACCCCTCGCAGGCAGCGTGTGTGCCGCCATCACATTGATTGGTCTGGCGAAGGAAGGGTGCGGACCCCACGCAAGGGGAGTTCCTGTGGAGATCCTGTGGAGTTTGTAATCCTGTGGTGTGCTGTGGGGTTGTTTGTGCTTTTTTGTGGAAGCCGTAGTAAGTGGTTGTGATTCCTGTGGTCGTGCCTTCCTCCAATAAAATAGGGCGCGAACGGAAGGGTGCGGAACCTGCACAAAGGAAAAGCGCGGAACCCGCGCAAGGGAAGAGCGCGGAACCCGCGCAAGGGATGGGCGCGGAACCCGCGCAAAGGAAAAGCGCGGAACCCGCGCAAGGGAAGAGCGCCGCGCAAGGGATGGGCGCGGAACCCACACAAAGGAAAAGCGCGGAACCTGCGCAAGGGAAGAGCGCGGAACCCGCGCAAGGGATGGGTGCGGAACGCGGAAAAAGGAAAAGCGCGGAACCCGCGCAAGGGATGGGCACGGCAAGGGAAAAAAGGAAGGAAGGACGGAAGGGGCGGAACCTGCGCAAGGGAATTGCGCGGAACCCGCGCAAGGGAAGGCGCGGAAAGGGCAGGAAGGAACGAAGGAGGGAAGGAGGCAAGAATTAGATTCTACTATGAAGTGTACACCAACATGGAAAAAATTATGCCGAGGCGGGCTGAAAAATCTCAAGGCGGCAGGGCTTGGCTTGAGAAAAAACAGCTTGCCTTGACTAAATCCTCTGGATTTAGTCGAGGCGGGCTGAAAAATCTCGAAGCGGCAGGGCTTGACTTGAGAAAAACAGCTTGCCTTGACTAAGTCCTCCAGATTTAGTCGAGGCGGGCGGAAAAATCTTATTGTCACGGGGCTTTACTAAAGAATCTAATTGTCAGGGGGCTTCAATCTAATTAATTGTCGGGAGGTTTTGCTAAAGAATCTAATCCCCTAAACCCTCATCATGATGACCGAAAAGTCACGGTGCTGGAGTGCGATGTGGCATAATGAATGCACGGATTCATATCGAATATCTGCGTTTGGAAACGCATACCTACATCTTCCTTTGTATGTATTTTGGTTGTTTCCAACAAAGCATAGTTGCTGGGGCAGGCGGCGCGAATTTCTGTAGCGCAGCACTTTTTGGATTTGGGATAGAATGATGGAAACTTTGACACATCACTCACCCAAAAGAAACACAAGAAACGAAACTGCGCAAAATGGCACCAAAACGCCGCAAAACTGCAATTTGTTGCGCATGTTTTTTGTTGCGCTACTGAAAGTCGAAAGTGGCAGGCAAACCCATGAATCGGCAGTTTTTCCAGAAAACGACTAAAACTACATCAAGCGACAGAAATTAGTTGAGCTTCACAAAACGACAACAATTTTACCAAAAAGCTCTTTCCCGTACTACATGTGTACTACAAACTGGCCCTTCTGAGTCCAGCTCCGAACAGCTCTTTCCCGTACTACATTTGTACTACAAACTGGCCACTTCTGAGTCCAGCTCCGAAAAGCTCTTTCCCGTACTACATTTGCACTACAAATAACTGGCCACTTCTGAGTCCAGCTCCGACAAGCCCTTTCCCGCACTACATTTGCACTACAAACTGGCCAGGTCTGAGTCCAGCTCCACAACTGAAGCGCCAAGTCTCCAAAATGAGCGTTTCGTACGAGACTTCCTCCAAAAGTGAAGCGCCAAGTCTCCAAAACGAGCGTTTCGCACGAGATTTCCAAAATCGCCAAGTCTCCAAAACGAGCGTTTCGTACGAGAGTCTCCAAAACGAACGTTTCGTACGAGACTTCCTCCAAAAGTGAAGCGCCAAGTCTCCAAAAAATTCGAGACTTGTCTCGAAAACGAGTGTTTCGCACGAGACTTCCTCCAAAAGTGAAGCGCCAAGTCTCCAAAACGAGCTTTTCGTACGAGACTTCCTCCAAGAGTGAAGCGCCAAGTCTCCAAAACGAGCGTTTCGTACGAGACTTCCTCCAAAAGTGAAGCGCGACCGCGCATCCGACACGCACGATGTCCGCAAAGGGTTGCACACGCCCCGGCAGTTTCGCAGTTTCGCCTAGGTTTCGTGCGTCCGACACGCACGATCTCCGCAGAGGGTTGCGCACGCCGGCGCAATCGCAGTTTCGCCTAGGTTTCGCGCATCCGACACGCACGATCTCCGCAGAGGGTTCCACACGACACTCCGCGGCATCGCAGTTTCGCCTAGGTTTCGCACATCCGACATGCACGATCTCCGCAGAGGGTTCCACACACCCCGGCACAATCGCAGTTTCGCCTAGGTTTCGCACATCCGACACGCACGATCTCCGCAGACCCTGAGCATCCGATCTTGAAAAAAACCGATCCCGATTGGTTTTTCAAAAAAATCGATCCCGATTGGTTTCACCTCAAAAACCGATCCTGGGATTGGTTTTTGGGGATTGGTTTTTTTCGATCCTGGGGATTGGTTTTTCAAGGTTTGGGGATAGCTTTTGGGGATTGGTAAAAAACCGGTCCCCAGGATTGGTAAAAACCGATCCTGGGGATTGGTTTTTGGGGATAGGATTGGACATGACATGCACCTCACAGCAATCTTGAGGCTCAATTGTACACATACAATTTTCCTTATCTTTTTTCCATATCCCTGGGGCTTGGAAGAGAGCCATGTCAGGAAGGGGTGGCCAGAACAGATCACCCATCCTTCCTGTAGACCAGGCAGCCTTGAATGCTGCTTTCAGGAGAGCAGTTGCTATGTGGGGACAGGATGCCTTTGATTTAGGCATCTACAAAAAGATAGGTAGAAAGCAAGCAGCCTCAGCCCAAGGGATTGTGGAAAATGCCTGGTGGCTGAAAGCTTTGATCCCCCTGAGCAGCGGTGAAATCCTTCCAGGGCAGCTGAAGGAGGCACTGCTGATTTATAATGCATCCCACAATACATCGCGCTACAAAGCACACATCTGGGCAGGATCAACTGCAACCCACTTCACCACCATGCTGAATCATTGGAGGAGGTTGAGGACCAATGAGAACAAAAAGAGGCAAGCTGCAATGAAAACTAGTCGACAAGTTGCCAGCCAGTTGGAAGAGTTGCTAATCTTGGAGCCAGGCTTGCAACAGAGCCAACCCTCCAATCATGATCCTGCCCAAGAGGCTTGCAAGAAAGCCACTGTTGCCTCCAAGGATGAAGCTGCCCAAAAGCAAGAGGCTTGTAAAACAGCCACCAGTGACTCTGATGAAGAAGATGATGGTTCTGAGGTCGAAGAAGTGTCTTTGGATGAGCATGGCTTTCACAAGATGCTGCAAACTCCAGAAATGAAGCGATACATGGGGCCTAGCCCAGCAAAGGCTGCTACCAAAGCAAGCTTGCCATTGAAAAAGAGCAAGCCCACAAGCCACATGAAGGAATTGGAGGCAGCTGCTGCTGCAGCTGCCCAAGCTTTGGCAGAAGAAACACCTGCCAAAGCCACAAAGAAGCCTGCGCAGAAAGTGACGCAGAAGCCAGCTGCCTCTGCGCAGGTCAAGGTCCAGAAGAAGCCTGCAGCAGCTGCATCTGCAAAGAGGAGGCTTGCAACAGAGCCAGGTCTTTGTTCTTGGAGCAAAGTCAGGAAGGTGATTGCTTCAAAGCAATCATACCTGCAAGGTATGAAAGATGGAAAACGGATCTTGCTGATCAGCTGCACAGAGAACATGGGGGCCAGCCATCCAGAAGGCCATGCTGGTGTGATC